ATTCAAATAGACTGAGTGGGTCAGGCTTGGGAGCCTGGTGAGCATATAGGGTTTTCAACCCGCAATAATTAATTATATTTACTTTTACAATCAACAATAACCCGATTACCCATTCCCGTTATCCTCACTTTACGTCCCTAAAATAACATCTATTATAAGGAACCTAATCTAGGATTTTCATCGGGATGGATATTACTGCAAGTGGTTTCCTCAGCAATAAATGTCCTAGAGGCAACCAGGGGGGATAGAGTACACCAGTGAACACATCGTTCACAACACCTACAGGTTATGAACCTGCTAGCGTACCACTAGACTATCTAGAAAGAGTCCATGGTCGTTATCCATACTCCGCTGAATAACTAGATCAACAACAACATCGAGGCATCTCATCTATTTATCACACATCAACTATCTACCCATGTTCTACCCAACATATTAATAGATAAAAATATATATTTTTTATGCATAGTTTAAAACCTGTATAGCATTCTCATTCAATACATATTTCAAAAAACAGATGAGACACATACACATAACACATATTTCATAGTACACAAGTCATATCTATGAGATAGAAGAAGGTGAATATACGTTCACACATATAACAACAAATATACACATAACACGTATTTTATATAAAAATACTTTGTAATTATGCGTTAGAAGAAAGTAACTACACACTCACTTGATCAGAAGATGATCAGACAGTACTACAGTTTGTAGAAGTAGTATTTTTCGGTAGATCTGGAAGGTCCTTACAAAAACCGGGCTCCTTATGGGTAGAACATCGACTCGGGAATCTTACTTCTCGGGATATTTGGGACTTCAGAACTTGCTTCGGGACTCAGGAATGATATCGGGGCTTCGAGATATAATTGGCACGCAAACCAAGGCGAAAACTAGAGAGAAAGAAAGAAAGATGTCAAGGAAAATGGCTAATCTCGGTTTCTATTTATAGGGTGTTTGGTCTCGGATTACTCTGGGCGTAACTCCAAGTACGTTGGGCGTACTCAATACGTTCGATGTACCAAGCCTTACATTGGGCATTCTCAACGTCACTGCATGCGTCACTTAGTGGCACTCGAGTATTGGTCAGGCAACTTGCACTCATCTGAGTACGCTGAGCGTACTCAAATTACGTTCGGCGTAATTTGACTCGTCAAATTTCTAAATTGCGTGACTTTTTCATACAAGCTCTGTTTTCGACGTTGTTTATATCCACGCGTAGGTCAGACCATACTCTACAACTTTCATTTAGACCCCATCGGCTAATTTTGAATTTATTTTTTACTATTTATTTTTAGTTGGCCGGGACAGAAAAACTTCATTAGAAATTCATAACTTCTTCGTCTGACATTTGTTTTCGTCTCTCTTTCTGTCGTTGTTCAACCATCGACGAGATCTTCGATTCTGGTTTAGAAAGTTTTGGCTAAAACTCGCTCGATCTCAATTCGAACTTTTGGGTTGTCTACTGCTAAGCTGAAACTTCGAAAAATCATAACTTCCTCATACGAAGTCAAATTTAGGCATTCTTTTTGTGCACGCTCTCGGTTCAACATTATCTACATCTTTTGTGTTGATCACTAAGGCTAAATATCACTCTTTCGTAAATTCACTATTTACGTCACGCTGTGCCACATTGTTTTTGTCGTGAAACTTCGACAGGCCATAACTTCTTCGTTATAACTCGGTTTTCAGCATTCTTTATATTTTCGGAAACCTCATCTCAACCACTACATCTTCGTGCATCGATGTCGGGTTTATATAACATTTCATTTTTAAGCTTATTTTTATTCTAGATTAAATTAAATCACATAATTAAGCAGATAAGTATAAAACACATAATTCGCAAATAATACATTCTTATTTTTTCAAATGGTTTACAAAGGTTAACCTAGACTATTACATTGCTAAAAATGACAAGCCCAGAAACATAGGCGTTACAACTACAAGTCCATATTGACTTGAATGAGGATCTAAAGCTGAAAATGATAATTTATTTCAAGAGATTTTATTTTTTTAGCTTCTCTATTTCTCCTTAATGTTGGAAAAACTGATTCATCCAAATGACAATCCTCAAATCTAGTTATAAATAAATATCCAATTGATGGTTCTAAATATTTTACTATAGATGGAGATTCATATCCAACATAAATTCTCATTCATATTTCAGGATCCATTTTCATGCGATATGTTGGAGAAATATGGACATAAAACGCACATCCAAATGTCCTTAAATGGGAAATATTTGGTTCTTGGCTGCAAATCAGTTGCATATGGGAGAAAATGATAACTAGTTCGCCTGATGCATACAAATGGGAAATATTTGGTCCCCATATCGATATAGGAAGTTTATAATACATTAGTAATGGTCTTGCAATTAATTAAATGTGTTTGATTAACAACTAAGCTTAACCATTTTGTGTATAAACATATGAAACATGATGTTCTATAGTTATCCTAGTGGACATGCAATAGTCATTAAAAACTTGTGATGTAAATTCTCTAGCATTTGCAAGTTAAAATTTTTTTAATTGGATATTTGGGAAAATGTGCCATTAAGCAGATTATTTGCACAAGTAATCTTGCAAATGTGAGATTATGACTAGACAACACACAAACGTGTGCCCATCTTATTTATGTGCCAATTAAAATCATAAAGTATCTAAGTGGTCCACATGGTTGATGAATTGGTCCATATATATCCCCTTAATTTCTTTCTAAGAAACTAGGACTTTAATACCCAAATTTATTCAATGATGGATGAGAAATTACTTTTCCTTGAGAGCATGCAACACAAAACAATTCACTAACTTGAAAAATCTTATAGTTGTTCAAAGAATGATCACTTAGTGTTTCAATTATTCTACATGTCATAATTGATCAGGGATGACCCAACCTGTCATGGCAATCATACCATTTATTTTCAATAACACGAGGTTCAATTATTTTAATATTTGTATAATACGAGTAATTTATCCAAAGGACTTTTCTTACCCGATATCATTTTTGTGATATTAAGATACTCTTTATTACCATCATTAGTTCTTTCGACATGATATCCATTAGACCTAATATCTTTAAAACTTAATATTTTTTTTGGTGATTTGGATAAAAATAATGCATCACTAATTATTGTCCCTTGTCATAATATTATATTCGCTCTTCCAGAGCCTTCAATCATTATTGCACTACCCTTTATGGTATTAACATTTTCTTCTACAATTGATAAGTAAGCAAAATATTTTTCATTATTAAAAATGTTATGTGTTGTTGTACTATCTGCAATACATATATCTTCCTCATTTCTTTTGTGAATATCCATATTTTTCTTCAATAATTAAATAAGACATAAAAAAACATTCAACTTAGAGAAATAAGTCATATTTTATGACTTAGAGAAGATTGTGATGACATCATTTCTCATGAAACCAATATGATAAAAAAACAAAATAAAGACATGAAACAAAACTACATATTATTCTTTCATCACCGTCCATAAGACCACTTGTCTTTTTTGGGTAAACAAGAAAATCAACACCATCAAAATGTGTCATTTTGCTTGATCTTTGTGCAAATCATTATCATTTTGAATAATTTTTTTTTTGATATATATATATATATATATAGATATATACACACACACACACACTACTAGAAAAATAGCCTTTTACGACGTGCATTTAATGACACGCACTGATAGAGGACTTGCATTTGTGTGTGCCCTGAAAATTAATGTCAATCTTCCAAAATTTGAAGGATAGAGGAGACATATTTTTGTTTGCCCTAAAATTAGTGTCGGAAAAAAAAATCCGGAGGGCACCTATCATAAATGGGCGTCGTGTAACTGTGTCGCTTTATATTTTTTTAGGAAACACGCGTTTTTACGGGCGGGGGGGGGGGGGGGGAATGAAATCCTAAAAATTAACTCCCGTCTATTCATCCCAAAAATTCCCCGCCTCTTCGAATTAGCGCCTTGGTCTTCATCCACAGCTTCCTCAATTCCTCGATCCATCACCTCCACCAAAAACCTAATTCTCGGTTCCAACAAATTATTACACTCTTAATTCGACCCTAATGAGCTGAGGATTTAGGCTTCTTACCTCCCAGTTATCAATTTGAGCCGATGATTTAGGGTTCCTAAATTCAACCCTAACTTTTTTCTATCTCACTCTCGTAAGTATTACCTCTTTTACTCTGGGTAATGCTCGATTAGGTCAAATTTGATGCTAAAGAAAAAAACCCTTGTATACTTTTACCTTTGTTTTGATGTAACATACAGAAAAAGTAGAAGATGGTGAAGAAGTAGCAATAGAGGAAGTGGAGGATGAACAGTCGAAAATGGAAGGAATGACATCAATAGCATTGTTACCAGATGGGTCAATCTCGGGTCATTTTGTTCATCTTCCCGAGTCCGTTTGTTACCAGATGGGTCAATCTCGTCTTTTCGTATCGACTTCATATCTCTCTGCAAAGCAACCACTCCTCTCCTCCTCCCGACAACCCCCACACCACCATCTCTCCCCTCCCTTCATTTTCTTCCCCCTTTCTCTCTTCCAACCCTAAGCCATCGTCACTACCATTGAACCCTAAAAACTCATTCACACTCCACACTTTTGTAATTTTACTCTTGGGCTCTCATTATCTCCTCTTGGGCTCTCCAATCTCTAATTTTACACTGAAATGTCGATCGACATCCCCACTTCACCTACCATCTACCCAAAATCAATGTTGATTGTAACTACCTTCAAGCACGATGCCATCTCTGCAACACATCCAGAACAAGAACACACATCACTCTCAAACACCCCCTTAGCTTCTTCAATGTTCTTGATGTCTTGTGATTTCTAGGGCTCGAAGCAACCTCCTTTATGTTACATTGAAAATCGTTTCCCCCTCCCTCTTTCCCACCCCTTTGGTGTGATTTCTAGGGCTTGAATCAACATTTACCCACACTGACACTCCATCTGATACACTCATCTTTCACTGTTTTGTGATCGATGGTGGCAGTAAGGGATAAAGGTTACGACCTCATCAAGACTTCTATACCTCTATCAGACCAGGTTTACTTTTATTACTTGTAGAAAAATTTCATTCTTGGTTTTGTACTGAGAATTTCAAGGTTATAGAAAACCTATCTAACTTTGTTAATCGATTTTTTTTCATTCTGGTTTGTGATCCAAATCATTCCCAAATATATGATTCGTATTTACTTTGTGAAATTTTACTTTCACGAAGGCTATAAAATTGATGAAATATGATTTAACTTGAATATGATTTAAGAATCGTGTTTGCTTAATTTTTAGAAATCTTAAATTAATATTAGATTTATAAAGCTACACATATAGTGATGTGTGAACTCTTATTTTATGGATGTTCATTCTTCCATGAAATTTTATTTATCAGTCCACATAATTTTATACATAATGGACAATTATGCCGTTTACATGTTTACTTCATTAGATTTTCAAAATTAGATGATATTTTTCTTTTTATCACAATCATTTGTCTTACCTTTGAAGCTAGCTAAAATTCACAATATCTCCACGAATTTAATATCGGGTTTGGTGTTTCTGGTCATTGTGTGTGCATGTTGGTTTTGCATATTGGTTTTTTCCCAACTGTGATTATCCATTACAAGTTGTAGATTCAAATTCATTATGGTTGTGTCGAATGTGAGAGAAATAGGAATAAGGAGAGTGTTGAGCATTTGGAAACAAATAATTGGTTTCTCTCTCTTCAATATATCTTACTTTTTAAATCAAGGCTATATTTGTCAATTAACTTTAAAATTATGTGGATTGATCAAAAATAGGCATGGAAAAATCAATACCCTTATTTTATTAAAAGTAAGACAATGTATTTGAGTGCTTGTATCTCAGCCTCCTATTGCATTGGATTTGGTTGAAAAAAATAGATGGTAAAAAGAATCAAGGTTGGGGCCAAAGGAAGTAAGTGGGGAAAAGGATTAAAAATCGTCAGATGAGTACTTATCCTCTTCTCTTTGTGTGTTTTTGAATCAAACCTGTAAGTATTGTCATATATATCTTAAGTTCTTGGGTCATCATGTGACATTACTATAGGTAACAATCTAATTATCCATGACACTCTATTTTGGTTGCATGTTGCATTCTTTTGATATTATTTTTTGTGTATTTGATTCAGGTGCATGATAATGTTTGTTTGGATGCTGATCGCTGCATTGACAAGGTTATTTTTGTCATTAGTTAAAAATTTCAGATATTGATATGAAGTGTTTTATAATTGGTTAACGTATAAAATGAGTTTGGTTTCAGGTTGATGCTAAGTTGAAGGCTGCAGTTGAGAAGGAGGTTGGCAGGATAAGAGGTTTGGTTGGATTAGCTTTTTCTACAGCACAGAAGGTTAGGGACAGGTGTGATTATGGTTGGGTTAAACTTAATGATCGTTTCGCCTCAATTTAGTAAAAATAAGGGATTAGAGTTGATTAAATTTAAATCCCATTTAAAGAAATACAAATTGGCTTTCAAATCATAGTGAAGAAGCTAAGCTAACAGAGTTGTGTGGATTTGTGACGAAAGATGAATGAAGATGTATGAAGAAGCTAAGCTAACAAAGTTGTGTGGCTTTGTCAATGACACATAAACTAAAAGGTCTATATTTTGTTTCTTGATTAAGTCTTGTTTTTTGTAAAGTACACAAGAAACATAAACTAAAAGGTCTATATTTTGTTTCTTGATTGGCTTGATGCAGCAACTTCTTTAGCTGGTTCAGTGGGACCCAATGTGAAGATGACATCGATGAAATTCAAGATGGAGTATGTTTAGATTATATATTTTGTTAATTAATCATAAAAAATAAGCCTCTTTTATTGTTTTCTTGAATAAAACCTTTCGTAAAACCTTTTCTTTTTCTTTTTCTCAAATCCACCTTCCTTCATTATTGTGTTACTGATTTTGTTTTTGAAAATTCGTTTTTTAAAGGATGCTGATGAAGAGGACTTTGGTGATGAGGATGATGAAGAGGTAAACAATTATAACAACTCTTTTATTTTATTTTATTTTATTTTATTTCACTGACATTATTTAATATAATATTTTTATCAGTCATTGGCACAGATACTCATTTTGCCCTTATTCTTTTCAGAATCCACAATTTCAAATACTCATTTTGCCCTTGTTGACATGCTGCTAATAACTTTTTGAACTTTATGTTGTTGGTATGGATTTAAATCTCAGTATTAAGAATTAAGAACTAAGCTAGCAATCTACTCCCGTTGATATCATTTATTTGTCTTTATTTTTTCTTACTAAAGGTCTAATAACCGAAAAATACAACCAATTTAAATTTTCCAAAAACAACCCGATTTCATTAAATTGTTTACAAAAAGGTTTTCAATACAAATCATTTAGAGTATTCCCAGAATCGCATTGCTACAAAATCATGAGGAGCGGTATGATCACGTCTTCGCCTTGCCACAGTCTCCTGAAGAACCTGAAAAACATTAAACCACAACTGTAAGCCCGAAAGCTTAGTGAGATACCCCCAAAATACCAACCACATATACGCCCTTCCAGGCTACGACCTTCCGGTCCAAAACATATTGCCTTCCGAACATATACAATGTACATAACAGAACATAGAACAGCCATACATATCGGGTCTACTGTTTGACTGGTTCGCCGTATCGGCCTTCAGTCCACCGGATCCATCCTCCGAGTCTAGTCATGTCCTTCGAGTCTACAGTGTGGTTGGTCCACCCGCACTGGGCCTTCAACTCACCTGGTCCACTCTCTGAGTCTACAGGTCCGCCCGCATCGGGCCTTCAGTCGGCCTGGTCCACCCTCCGAGCCTCGGCACGTCTAGTCAGCCCGCGTGGGGCCTACAGTATATCCGAACCGCTCGCTGGGCCTTCGGAACAACCGGTCCGCCCTGAGTATCTTGGCCTACAGCACAAAGCAGGACCGCCTCAACCTATCTCCAGTCCAAACAACCATGTACACATAAACATTTAATCATATAACAGTTCACATTCAAACAAGCCGATCTAGTAGATCACATAGCATAACATACTCTAAGCAGGATACCGACCTAACAAGTCATTAGCATAGCATCTCCCTATATCTCAAGATACTGATCTCAATCAGGTCTCTAACATATACCGTCCTAACTCTCAGGATGCAAGCATATCACAACAACAAAGTAATAACAACTACCCGGATCTCAATCCGATAAGGGCCGGCCTTGGTGCCTTAGACCCTGTTGATATAGTGAGGATAACTCACCTCGAAACTGCTGGCTGAAAGGATAAGATCCCGCTGCTCCAACTCTGACACGAACTCTTCCAGTGAACACCAAAACATTCAATTCAATAAATACCCTTAATTACCAAAATACCCCTAGAAGACAACTGGTCAACCTTGGACAAAGTCAAAGTCAACCCCTGACTGACCCTACTCGCCGAGTCAATCCCGATGACTTGCCGAGTCCCTATGCTAAGAACTTCCCTCCATCAGCGACCCAACTCACCGAGTCACCCCAAGACTCGCCGAGTCCAACAACTCTGAGTCCACTCGCACCCAACTCACCGAGTCATCCCTTGACTCACCGATTCTCGACTTAACCAGGAAATATTGGGACTCTTCGACAAGACTCGCCGAGTCCAAGAACAGACTCGTCGAGTCTAAGGCTATCTTCAACCTACTTGTCGAGTTGTTCTTCCAACTCGCCGAGTTCCAGGCCATCTTCAAGCAACTCGTCGAGTCCACCCATGTGACTCGCCGAGTATCACCGATCTGAATCAATTCAGAAGCACTCCAGGCCATGCAGTTGATCCAAAACATAGATCCAACCTCCTACAATCCATCCATCACGTAAAGTTGCAAACTTTACGTGAATCTAAAGAGATCTAGGCCTTATTCACCTTAGAACTAAGGTTTGGGAAATGATAGCTCCATTAACAACACAAGAATAGGGGCTTTAATGCTCTTAAGATCTTCTCCACTCCAGATCTGAGGTAGCAACCTCAGATCCATCCTTCAAACTCAAGATGTCACACAACTAAGCTTCCCACACAACCCCAAAATGAGAATCTAGGAGAACACAGCCCATGAACGAAAGTATTACCTCCAAAGAAGGGCCCAACAGCAATGAAACTCGAATCCAAGCAAACCCCTTTGATCCAAGCCTCTTCTCCTTCAAGATTTCTTCAACAAGCACCTCTCCAAGCTCCAATTTGCTCAACAATGGGGTTCCTCCATGAAATTAGGGTTTCTGGGACTCAAGGGGGATCAAGGAGGCTGTGGGGGAAACATAATGGTCTTTATATAGGGCTCATTCCCCCGATTTTAGGGTTTTCTTCGCCCAGCACCTACTCGTCGAGTCCATCTTTGGACTCGCCGAGTAGGTCGCTTGACACACGACCACAGTCGCGACTCTACTCGCCGAGTCCATCCATGGACTCGCCGAGTCGCCCTTCAAGATTTACACTTTTAGCCCTTCAACTCTATTCTTGCTATTCCGGGATGTTACAAAAGGATTTGATTTTATTGTTGATATGAGTTTGAATATTTTTGTAGGATAGTGTTGCTATCCTTAATGGGTATGTTATGGAAGATAACAGATTCAGTCATGGCAAACCTGCTTTAGCATTTACCCTACACAAATGCCTTCTCCATTGGAAGTAGTTTGAAGAAGAAAAAACAACCTTATCTGATCAAATTGTTCAGATTATTATTTCAACAACCAAGGAAATTCATTAGACAACATTGAACAAAGCAGTATCTAGAGATATGTTCCTTAACTGTTAACATTAATCTGGTCATATCTAATTATCAGATCTACTCTATTAAATATACAAAGAACAAAAGGACATGATAGAATTATTATCCCTCCAAGCAAAACACTATGAGTTCATGTATTCTTGTTCCCTGTAGGGATAATATATGCTACTTTCATGTGTTCTTATTAGGTGTATAGTCAAGATCAATGGAGCTTCTTGTGTTAACAGAAAGAATACAGTTGTAGCACTAGCATCTTATGAAAATGGAGGAAAAAATAGTACCATAAATGCCCCTGAGAAGCTGGAACCTTTGTGGGATGATGGTTATGGGACACAAACCATGAAAGATTACACTAAAATAGCCATGGATTTGAGTCGTTTAACTAGTAGTGATGGTGGGCCACCTAGGTGGTTTTGCCTTGTTGCCTTAAACAGGCCTCTAAAAGATTATCCTATTCTTATGTATTTACATGGTAATTTGTGTGTGGTTATAAAATTACACAAATTACCATTTTACCCACTGCAAGATATGCTTATATTTACTTCCTAATTGAATGTGATACTTTGTGTAGGGTTGGAAGGAAGTGGAACTGACCTTGTTGTACATGAGAAAGCTCTTGGCTCCGGAATCAGCAGCAACACAAATTGTCAAAGTACGGAAACAGAAAAAATGTCAAATTTGTAATAAAATATTATGCAATTGATTGTATTTTTTGTATATGATATTTTGTATGACATTAAATTTTATGCAATAGATTGTATTTTTTGTATATGGTATTTTATTTCTATTATCAGACATTAAATGCAGTTTTAATTTAAAAATTAATAAATATATAATTTTTTTTAATATTTAAATTTACGATATGCAAAAATGTGCGTCATCTTCATTTATGACATGGCCTTTCTTGACAGGGGTTTTAATGATACGCATCGCGTGTCATAAATGCGCGTCATCTATAGACGACGCGCAAAAGCGCGTCATCTCTCGTTATGACAGGGCTTTCCTTGACGCGCATTGCGCGTCGTCTGAGCATTTTACGACGCGCAATGAGCGTCGTAAAAGGCCTTTTTTCTAGTAGTGATATATATATATATATATATATATACACACACACACACACACACACACACACACACATATATATATATATATATATATATATATATATATATATATATATATATATATATATATATATTAGAGAAGTTTGATAAAGACCAACAAATTTCTTTGGAGAGCGGCATATACAAGACCAATGACCGGCTATTCCACATTGATGACAAATATTTTCAACTTTCTTTTTTGCTTGACCACTTTTATCATTATGATGTTGGCTTTTTGTTATTTTTCAACTTGGGGTGGTTACTTGCTTTCTTGTTATTGTTATTATGATAATTATGATGACCTCTATGACCTCGATTAGACCCATAGCTATTACGAGTATATGATATTGCATTCATCTCAGGTAACGAAGTAGAACCGGTTGGTGTGTGATTGATATTTTTATCAGTATTTCATTATTTTGTTCAGCCACAAGAAGACATGAGATTAATTTAAAATTTAAGAAAAAAACCTTTCTAACGATGTTGTTACAGGAGTATGTTACTAGCATGAAAAATAGAGAAAGTTTTTCTCTATCACGGTTTTCCAAAGTGAAAATATTAATCAAAATAAAGACTAGTATGTTAAGAAATTGTTAGTTAAGAAATCCTATAATATAAGTTGTAAGCATTGTACATTCAACTTATAAACAAAATACATACCTGGAAATGACAAGAACGATAAGCGGTTAGAGTTCTTTGGTAGAATGCTGTTGATAACGTGTTATAAAATATAAAGCTAAATTAAATAAAAAACAAAGTAGGAATAAGATTATAAACAACTTTATTTCAATACTTATGAAAAAAACGACTAAACTTTACAATACATAATACTGAGTGTTTATACTAGAAAAACGAGATGAAAAATGAAATATGTTTTAAATGCTCATTATGATCATGCATAACTATACTCGTAAAACTTATAATAATGTATTTTATAATGCACAATAACTATGAAGAGTGATGAAATAATATGATAAATCCAATAATTGATCACTAAATAATAATTCATATCAACAAATCTCAACTACATAATTAGATAACTTTCACTAAATGTCTAAGGGGGTGTTTGTTTTTCCTTTTAAATCTTTTTGACATTTAACTTTTTCAAAAAATTAAAAAAATCCAAAAGTTGTTTGGTAAGTGGAAAAAGACTTTTAAAACCAACTTTTACCAAAGCATAAAAATTAGCATTTGCAAAAGTCAAACATCCATGACTTTTTGTATTTTTTTTGAACTTTTAAGGCTGCAATAGCAAAAGAAATCTCAAATACTTTTTAAACAACATTTTTTGAAAAAAGGTATTTTACAAAAACAATTTTTCCCCTTTAAAAGGATTCAAAACACCCCTCTAATGTTTCAGCTGGATGCTTTGTTGTTCTTACCAACCCGCTGTCATACTCTACAGTATAATTTAACATCTTAAGTTAGAAGCTTATAGGAAGACCATTAAGACCAACATAATTGCAGCAGAAATAGAAACAACTTGTAATAATAAATAAAACAAAAGATACTTATTTCCTTAAATGTAATTTTAAATAGTAAAAGGGTAGAAAAAAAAAGTCTTGTTAAATAAATGTAAGTAAAAGATAAAAACTAGATTAAGAAACACAAAGAAATGTTGGACATGTACTTCTGTAACAGTCTCAACAATGACCTGTAATTAAAAAAACTAAACAAATAATCGAATGAAAATCTTACCAAAGAAAACACAAAAGAAAAGTTATAGCATATGTTGCCATTGTTGAGCATGTGGTAAAACCTCTTTATAGACGATATTTGTACAACATTTTTCAAATACTCTTCGATCTAAACAATTAAATTATATTTAGCGCTAATAACCATATAAACATAAATTTTAATATAAACATCAACCACAATCACCAAATAATTAAAACATGCATATATCAACTTTTTAAAATGTTATATCCGTTTTATCTTTATGTTTATTCTTATCTACTTATTTTGTGGATCAATTCTTGAAGGTCGTGATCATCACTACAGTTCTCTTTAAGTGATATATATATATATATATATATATATATATATATATATATATATATATATATATATATATATATATATATATATATATATATATATATATATATATATATATATATATATAGAGAGAGAGAGAGAGAGAGAGAAATCAATAGAAAATCATAATTATTGGTTATCCAAAGAACTAAATTTTGTTTTCAAGTAGTAATAACGTTATTGTTAAATTTGATATAACGTTATTGTTAAATTTGATATAATAATTTGTATACAAAATTGATATAATATATAAATTATTTTGAACTACATGATAATATACAAATCTATTATAACTGCATAATGTCAATCGTTTGAATGCCCTCTAATCAACGAGTTACTCATGAATAAATTTAAATATAATATATGGTTTAATGTTATTTATAGTTGTTGTTATTAATAATTAATTTTTAAAATTTATTTGCTTAATATTTTAATTTCTATCATTATCACTTGTTAAAATATCAAACATTGTTTTTTAATTTTATTTTAAAGGTAACAATATAATTATTTATATAGATTTATTTTTAACTATTTTTATTGTAAACTATTTTAAGCAATTTATTTGAAAATTTTTCACGATTATCAAAATATTTTTAGGAAATATTTTAGTTAAATTGATATTACAATTTAGTTTTTACATTTATCACTACAATTTATCACTTTTAACTATTTACAAAAATATTCTTTGTTTTTTTAAGTGGAACTGAAATTCATATTTAATTTGACACTGTAATTTTATATTTAAATTAACAATTTAAGTATTTTGTCCAAACTGTTCAAAAGTTGTAGATTTAAACTGATAATGGTTTAGATATAAAAGCATTTTAAATCTACTAAATTAAGTATAATATGTTAAAACTTAAAGACATAAGTTTATAAGTATAAGTAAAGATATTATTTTAAAATTGAAATTAGTTGATTTATAATTACACTTTAGGTTTGATATTTATTTAAACTTAATATCAACTTATAATTATTATTTGAAAGTCACTACAATTTATCATTTTTAACTATTTACAAAAAAAAAAAAAAAAAAAAAAATTAGGTTGTTTAAGATAAACTAAAATTTATATTTAAGTTGACCCTATAATATTATATTTAAATTAATAATGTAAGTATATTATACAACTTGTTCCAAAATTGTATCTTTAAAATGATAATGTTTACATCCAACAATATATTAAAACTAATAAATTAACTATAATATGTTAAAAGTTAAAAAAACATAACTTTATAAGTAGAAGTGAAGATATTATTTTAATATTAAAATTTAATTTATATATGATTACACTTTAGGTTTAATATTTATTTAACCTTATTAACCAACTTATATTTATTATTAGAAAAAATTGAAAAGTTAAGGAAGTTTCAAATGAATGTGGTGAAAGAAAACATGCATGTGAGTTTCAAATGAATGTGGTAAAAAAAATGCATCCTTTATAAGTAGAAGTAAATATATTATTTTAATAAAAACATAATTTTATAAGTAGAAATAAAGATATTATTTTAATATTGAAATTTAGTTTATATATGATTACACTTTAGATTTGATATTTATTTAACATAATTACCAAATTATAATTATCATTATTATTATTATTATAAAGAAATTGAAAAGTTATGGGAGTTTCAAATGAATGTGGTGAAAGGAAAAAAAGAATGGGGGTTTCAAATTAATGAGATTTATGAAAAAATGCTAGATTTATATATATATATATATATATATATATATATATATATATATATATATATATATATATATATATATATAGGGAAAAGTGAATATACCCTTAAGGGTATATAAGTTTAGGTACCCAAAACTCACAATAATTAGTAGTTTTGTTAGATATATTTATAATAATGTTCTTAAAATTCAACCCCTAACTTGATTTACATTGGAGATATTTGAAATTTCACTATTATCTTCCTCTTATATCATATTTTTTTTGCCGAACACCTACTAGGCTATATATATTATAGTTGAAAATGAAAAGTATGTAAGAGGAAGATAAATGTGAAATTTATAAAAATCTTAAAAGTAATCAAATTATAAGTTGAATTATAATAACAATTAGACAATTACAATTTAAATATATAATAGAAAACGATATAATATAGTAAGTTTGGTATCTAACCTTATATACCCTTAAGGGTATATATATATATATATATATATATATATATATATATATATATATATATATATATAGAGAGAGAGAGAGAGAGAGAGAGAGTGAGTGAAAAGTTTATTTCCAAATTTATTATTATGGTCAATTATCACAAACAAAAATAAACCAAGCAATTTTTTAGAATATCATTACAATAATTAGCGTAAAAGCAAATTTAAAATAAATCTAACATTTTTTTACAAGGATTAGAATCCCTGCATAAATAAGGTCATCTTCAATGCATTGAACTCAAATGAGTTCAATGGATTGCCACATGTACATACCACTTACAATACAATTTTATCTATTAAACTCTGCACTCCATTAAACCTAATACAATTTAATGGATTGCCACATCATTTATGTATGTGTGTGTGAGGAGAGAGAGTGTGGAGTTCAATGAGGATTGAACTCCCCATTCTATTTAGTGTTATGTCATTAACCCACAATGAGGATTTTGAGTTTAATGAGATTAAACTCCTCATTTAACTCTCCATTAAACTATCATTGGAGATGGTTTAATATCTATTTAAAATACATTAAATTTATTTTTCTCTTATTTTCATTTTAAAAAATGTAACGTCGCTTTGTCAGTCAATGCACCCTCTGTCAATCCAACTTTTGTCGTTTTCCGTCGGCGGATGTCCCACACTCCCACTCCCACATTAAAGTATTTAGGGAACATACCGAAATTGAATAAATATTTGTCCCACTTGTTCCATTAAAATTAGGTTATTCAAGCCCATTTTTTAATTAATTAGGTCTCT